GACCGAGAACTCAAAGGGGAAATGTCAGGCTGGCTACAAATAAGAATCCAAGTTAAAAGGTGAAATTAAAAAAAAAAAAAAAAAACAGAGTAGCTGAACTTAAAAGGGGAATTTCAGAAAAGGGCAATGCCAGATTATTTTTAAAGAAAAACCTGATCTCTCCCTTAATCACAATATCGATTAGAAAGGACAGGAACAAAGGCAATTTAGAATTGGAATTTGAACAATAAGATTCTATCAACAGTGAGAAAAAGCATCTTATCGATGTAAAAGAGCAAACAAATTATTTTCAAATAAGTTAAACAACATTGCTCTATTCTAATAGGGTATCTAGAGACATTACTAAAATATTTTGTAAAGAAGCCGGAGAAACAAAGCTCCAGATCTACATATTATGGACGTCATTATATTTACATATGAGTGTGCACATGTTATTATATATTATTCACACGTTTACGTGGCGCAGAATACAAAGAACTTAGTTGTATAATCTAATTATAAGGGTTGTGCAAGTCTTCAAATATCCATTTCTGACAAAGGAAAATAGCAGCAAATGTGTTTTGATCACTAATGTGGAGAGCTGTGTGGCCTGAAGGCGATTTGATTATGTGCAATCAAGTCATTTTTGACTCTTAGAGATACATAAATAGATTTTCTCTAAGACATTCTGTTCCCAACCTGGTCTTTCATGCCTTCTCATCAGGGGTGGGTTGCTGTCAGCATTACTGCCGGCTTGGCGTGCAAAAATGTATGCACACGTGCGGGTGTTTCGCTCATTCGCACACCAAACACACGCTCTGCATGCGTGCGCATTTGCACCTAAAAAGGCCTGTGCATGCACAAAGCAAAGGGGGAGAACGACATTTCTGCAATGAAAATTGTTCTGCGCATGCACAGAACTGAAAATAAAAATGGCGCCGTCGGAGGAGAACCGGTTTGGGGGCGTGTCAGACCTGGGTTACTGCCCGTTCCAGCGACCCAGGCTGCCAAGTTAGGAACCTACCTCTGCTTCTCATGGTGTATTCATCGCCATTGTTAACTGAGTCCACCCACCTGGCTGCCCAGTTATCCTCTTTCTTTTCACCTTTCCCCATGGTGGGTTTTTTTTTGTGCTTCCGTGATGAAAGGATTTGTCAGTGACATCACCGTCACCCAGGGAATACCCAGTTGGGGGCTTCTTTACTCTCCCTGCAAAGTTGCCCACCAAAGGGTACCCATTCATCTGCTCAGAGTTGCTCACTTTCAAACTCCTGTGTTAGCAGGAGGTGGAGCTGGAGCATGTGATGGGAACTCATCCCTGTGGCAATGGGTCTCGGACGCGAGCCTGCCGATGTCAGCCCAGCATTCTAACCTCGTAAGCCACCATCTACCTTTCCAGAGAGCTGCGTCTTTGTGTATCATAAAAGTAGAATAATTTGAACCTGGTCATTTGTGCCTCGAATAAGACTCTTAAGTTCACTTGCCTAACGCTTCACTTCTATGTTTTCTTTCATGGTGGCTTCAGGAATCTTCTCCAACACCAAAAGGGTCAACATTCTTCTTATCCTAAAAGTCTGTAGAGATTCTCTGTCATCCAGGTCACGATTGTCCCAAAAGTGCTTTTCAGGAGACAACTGGACTTGTTTTTTCTTTGAAGACATTTCGCTTCTCATCCAAGAAACTTCTTCCAAGTGCTTCCAAGTGCTTCAAGGACCCTCTCAAAGGATGCAAATGACCAGCTGTCTGCAAGGAATATAAATCCTTCCATTCTCCACCATCCAGTCAGAGCTGAAGAAGCTTCTTGGATGAGAAGCGAAACGTCTTCAAAAGAAAAAACAAAAAGTCCAGTTGCCTCTTGAAAAAAAGCACCTTTGGGTCTTCCTAACCTCATTCATTTTCATTTCATTCATTCATTTTGTCATTTATAGGCCGCCCTTTTCCCTGAGGGGACTCAGGGTGGCTTACAATTCGTGGGAAGGAGTGCAAGACAAAACATAAAATATGTGAAT